AAGTCTTAAAGTGGCTGGAGAATTCTGGGAGCTGAAGTCCACAAAGTCTTAAAGTGGCTGGAGAATTCTGGGAGCTGAAGTCCATAAAGTCTTAAAGTGGCTGGAGAATTCTGAGAGTTGAAGTCCACAAGTCTTAAAGTCTTCCTGAAAATTCGGGGGCTTCCAACTCAAAGAGCTTGCCTTGCACCCCAATAAAGAGGAAAACCTGACCTAAATGGTAAATTTAAATTAGAAGGAATTTTCCAGGTCACCTAAAAACCAAATTAGGTTTTGTTTTTTTTTGGCCAGAAGTCAAAGTTGAAAGGACAGGAAAGAAGGGCTGCGAATAAAAAAGCAGGCGAGGTGGGTCTTCCTCAGGGGGCTGCAACCCTCACGGCGATCGCCAGAGGGCAGCAAAGGGTTGGCTCTCGGCCGTGGTCTGGGCGGTCGTTCCCCCCCCCCCTTGCAGCCCCCTCTGCAAATGAAGGGTGGGGGGTCTTTTAATCGAAAGCCCTTCCCCACCACGCAACTCTCCCCCTGTTTTTCCTCCTGTGAACCGCATTATAAAAGCAAGCAAATAAAAAAATCCGGCGCCCTCCCGCGCTAAACGACCCCATCGTCCTCCCGCCGCATCCCTGATGCGCCACGCGGACCGGCTCCTCCGAAGGGGGGGCGGGGCTAGGTTAATTTTGCCGGACGAGCCAATGGGAGCGCAGGAGGGGATCGAGCCCGCTGACGGCGTGGAGGCGGGGCGCCCGCTCTCTTGATAATGAGCATGCGCGGTGGCGGCCGCCTCTTAGTCGCTCAGCTTGGGTCGCGGGCCTGGAGCGGAGCGGAGCGGAGCGAAGCGGTGGGAGCGCGTTGCAAGGTGAGCCGGGAGGAGATGCTTGGCCGCCGAGCGGGGCGACTGGTGGACTGGGGCCTGGGGTGGGAGATGTGGGGAGGGGGAAGGAAGGAGAGAGGGAGAGAAGGAAGGAGGGAGGGAGGGAGAGAAGGAAGGAAGGAAGGAAAATGGGAAGGAAGGAAGGAAGGAAGGAAGGGGAGGGAGGAGGGAAGGAGAGGGGAAGGAGAGGACGAAGAAAGGAGGAAGGAAAGGAGGGAGGAAGAAAAGGAGAGGTGAAGGAAGGAAGAAGGGAAGAAAGGAGGGAGGGAGGAGAGAGGAAGGAGGGAAAGAGGGATGGAGGAAAGGAGAAAGGAAGGAGAGGACGAAGAAAGGAAAGGAGGGAGGGAGGAAGAAGAAAAGGGAGGAAGGAGGGAAGGAAAGGAGGGAGGGAGGAAAAGAGGGAGGAAGAAAAGGAGAGGTGAAGGAAGGGGGAAGGAGGGAAGGAGAAAGGAAGGAGAGGATGAAGGAAGGGAGGAAGGAAAAGAAGGAGGGAGGAGGGAAGCAAGAAAGCTGGGGGCAAATGGGATGCTGCAAGGGGGGGGGGTCCAGACCGTCCCCTTCCAGTATTCCAGACTTCCCACCTGGGCTGTCACCCCTCCCAACACACACAGCCCTCTAGGTTGGACTACGACTCCCATCATTCCCTGCCAGCCTTCTCATTTCATGGCACTAACGGTGTTGATGGGAGTTGTAAGTCCTGTTCTGGAGGGAAGTGGGGGGAACAAACCCCTTAACGGCATATGTCTTCGCTTCCCCCAACCCAGATCTTGCTTCCTGCGCCTGGAGGGGGCTTCTCCCCCCCCCCATTCCCATTGGTTGCCCCCCGCAGGGCAAGGTTTCTTGAACCTTAACACTTTAGGAGGTATGGACTTCAATCCCCAGAATTCCTCAGGAAGCCCTGGCTGGGGAATTGTGGGAGTTGCGGCCCAGACCTCCAAAAGGTGCCAGGGTTGAGAAACGCTGAATAGGGGGGTGGCCTCCTCTTCCCTTCTCTAAGGGCCTGCCAGCCAAAGGGGGATGCCCGTTATGTTGAGGTTGGGCAAGAAAAGTGGGCAGTGGATCCAAGGACAGGAGGATAATTTGCTGTGGGCTGGGCTGGCTTCCTAGTGCTAAAGATGCTTAACAGAATAACAGCTGAAAAGGACCCTGGAGGTCATCTTGTCCAACCCCAAGCAGGGGACCCTAAACCACCTCAGACAGATGGCAGTCCAGTCTCTTCTTGAAAGCTTCCAGTGATGAAGCTCCCACAACTTCTGAAAGCAACTTCTGTGTCCATGGGTTGATTCTTCTCACTGTCAGAAAGTTTCTCCTTATTTCCAGGTTGAATCTCTCTCCTTGTTCAGTTTCCATCTATTATTCCTTGTCTGGCCTTTGGGTGCCTTGGAGAATAGCTTGACCCCCTCCTCCTCTCTGTGGCAGGCCCTCAAATACTGGAAGACTGCTATCATAGCTCCATGCTGTCCATCTTATACTCTGCATCTCCCCTCTGATACCAACTGGGTTCTATTTCTTACTCCACATCACTCTTGGTTTCAGTTTACTTTCCTTCTAGCTTGATCCAGTTCCTTCTTCTCAAAGTCTGAGGTGGAAACCCATCTGCCTGCTGCTTTTCTGTAAATTTCCCAGTATAACTTCCCGATAGAAATGTTCTTCCCTTCAGTCGTGACATGTGTCCCATTGCACAGCATGTTTCTCAAGCTAGGTAGCTTCCAGGTATGTGCACTTCAATTTCCAGCATTCTCAGCAAATGGCTGAGCTCGCTTTGAATAGAATAGAATCCTTTAATTGGCCAAGTGTGATTGGAGACACAAGGAATTTGTCTTGGTGCAAATGCTCTCAGGGTACATAAAAGAAAAGAGACATTCGTCAAGAATCATAAGGTACGACAGTTAATGATAGCCACAGGGTACAAACAGGCAATCAAATTATACTAGGAAACAGTCAATATAAATCGTAAGAATACAAACAACAAGGTTACAGTTATACAGTCATAAGTGGGAGGGGATGGGTGATAAGGAGTGATGAGAAGATTAACGGTAATAGTAGTGCAGACTTTGTAATAGTTGGACAGTGTTGAGGGAATTATTTGTTTAGCAGAGTTATGGCGTTCGGGGAAAAAACATCCTTGTGTCTAGTTGTTCTGGTGTGCAGTGCTCTATAGCCTCGTTTTGAGGGAAGGAGTTGAAACAGTTTATGTCCGGGATGTGAGGGGTCTGTAGATATTTTCCAAGACCTCTTTTGGACTCGTGCAGGATACAGGTCCTCGATGGAAGGCAGGTTGGTAGCCATTGTCTTTTCTGCAATCTTAATTCCTCTCTGAAGTCTTTATCTGTCCTGTAGGGTTGCAGAACCAAACCAGACAGTTACAGAGGTGCAGGTGACAGACTCAATCATTCCTCTGTAGAATTTAGGGCATTGAAGTTAGTATGTTAAGTGAGTGTCCAGGATGGGTGACATTGATTTTCACTGCTCAGAAATAGCTTCAGACGTTTCCCTTCCCCTCAGTGGTTTATTGAATAGCTTGTTGCCTTTTACTAAAAGCAGTTAATGCATCGTGCATGTATCATAGTACAATATAGGCAGCCCAGGGTTGAACTCTGGAGACATCCGTGCTCTCTTGAGTTTGCTTCAGACAACCAAGGTCAGACAACCACATAACACAATCTCAGGTTTACCTAGTTCTCCCTTGAATCTTTCCAAATGGGCTTGATACCAGAATATAGTATATTTATGTAGAAATATGTAGTATATTTCCCATCCCACCTTCAGTTTCAGTGAGTACCAGTGGTGGGATTCAAATTTTTTTTTACTACTGGTTCTGTGGGTGTGGCATGGCTTGGTGGGTGTGGAAGGGGAAGGGTATTGCAAAATCTCCATTCCCTCCCCTGCTTTCCAGCACTAGCCTGCTTTCCAGCTCCGTTCTCCTGTGCAGGGCAACCAAAGAAGACCCAGCCAATCAGTTGGGACTTGGGAGGTGGAGAATAGATGGGGGCGGGGCCAGTCAGAGGTGGGATTGGCTGGTTCTCCAAACTACTCAAAATTTCCGCTACCGGTTCTCCAGAACTGGTCAGAACCTGCTGAATATCCACCTCTAGTGAGCACCCTAACCCAGTGATCCCCAACCTTTCTTATGCCGCGGCCCGGTACCGGTATTAGCTGGGCGCCGCCATCTTTTTTTGATGAAAAAGTGCTTCCGGTGAGCTTTCTACCCGGAAAAGCTCACCAGAAGCACTTTTTCATCAAAAAAAGATGGCGGCGCCCAGCAAACCAGTGGCCCGGTAGGACTTGTTCCACGGACCGGTCCCTGTCCGCGGACCGGTGGTTGGGGACCCCTGCCCTAACCCATCTGAACCAAATTTCTCTTTGCATTTGATCCTTGTACATATTATAATTTTGCTTGCTTGTTGCATACATTCTAATAAACAGTTTCCCTCTGGGAATCATCACTCCCATCGCCTGTCCAGGGGTACTCCCTGAATTTGAGAATTATAGTTTTCTTTCCAAGTAGCAATCATCTTCTCCTTCCATTTCTGTGCCCGCGGTGCCTAATCGCTCAAGCTGGCTGAGCCCTACCGTTTAGAAATTCTCCTAAGAATATAGATTTACATTATTCAAAGACAGGGTCATGTTTCAGTCCCATTCGACGGGGACTCGACTCGACACGATATGATAGACCTTACGGGGTATCATCACTTAGTCCAGGGGTGTCCAACCTTGGCAACTTTAAGACTTGTGGACTTCAGCTTTGCTGGCTGAGGAATTCTGGGAGTTGAAGTCCACAAGTCTTAAAGTTGCCAAGGTTGGACACCCCTGACTTAGTCTTTCTATCTCACGGAGAGTCAGCAAGGGGAAAAGAGAGGCTCTTGTTGAAGAGAAGTGTGGAAAGGAGAGGTTCTGAAAACCTCGGCTACTAAATCTGGCACAAGAACCTGTTAGGTTTGCAGTGTTGTGTGTATGGATCTCTCTTTTGTAGAGATGTGATGGACTCGGGGGGGGGGGGGACTGGTAGAATATTTTCAATAGCAAGGAATAGAATAGAATAACGGAGTGGGAAGGGACCTTGGAGGTCTTCTAGTCCAACCCCCTGCCTAGGCATGACACCCTACACCACTTCAGACAAATGGTTATCCAACATCTTTTTAAAAAACTTCCAGTGTTGGAGCATTCGCAATTTTTGGAGGCCAGTTGTTCCACTGATGAATTGTTCTCACTGTCAAGAATTTTTTTTGTCTTAGTTCTGGGTTGTTTCTCTCCTTGATTGGTTTCCACCCGTTGCTTCTTGTCCTGCCTTCAGATGTTTTTGAGAATAGCTTGACTCTTGTTGTGGCCTGGAGCTTGCAGCGGAGTTGGATAGTAGCCAGCAGGTTGGAAAGGAACCTGGGCCAGTCTTGGAGGGCGAGGAGGATTCACACAGCGTTGGCTCCTCGGCTTTGTAACGGAGATGAGCACCGCCCCCTAGAGCCAGAAACTACTAGCATGGATGTGCGAGGAGGGGAACCTTTCCCTTACTATTAGTACCCCACTTGATCTTGATTGTATCCAGGCCTGGATTATTTGCAGCTTCCTATCCTGATAATCACGGACTCTCCCTTGCTCCAGGTAACCCTGTCTAGGAGACGGACTTTACTCAGGCAGAACTATCACCAAAGTTGTGAAAAAGGTTGCAATCCCGGAGTTTTATCTGAGTGATAGAGTGCAAGGCTTGTGAAAAAGGTAGGAAGGCTGTTCAGAAGCGGTTTCTGAATCTCCACAACTTCCCGGTTTTTGAGTTTTCAAAAACGTATTCTACAGCAAAGAGTTCTCTTGGAAGGGGAAAGAAAATGTGTGAAGGAGGGTGAAGGATGTGTGTTTGTGTTTATTTTCATGGTCATGGTCATGATGTGCACTGAAGATGGTGTTTGATTTCGTTGTATGAGGTGCAGTGACAATAAAGTAAACTAAACTAAACAGCAAAAGAGAAAAGAGGGAATTGGGCCTTTTCTGTC